TGTACGGACCACTGAGGATTGAACTCGGGACTTCATGCGTGCAAGGCAAACACTCTACCCACTGAGCTGCTCTCAGGCAGACTCCAATAGTCGACCTCAGAAGCTATTTATCAGTGAAAATTCCTCAGCAGTCACACACATCTAAACCGAATCTTCAGAATTAAAGTGACAGATTCTGGGGGTGTCCTCAGGGTGGCCCACAGAGCGCTATTTCCATCCCAGTAGAATGAGGTAACAGCAGCGGAGGGAAAGTGCTGTTTCCTAACCCTCTCTACTCTGGCTCGTTAGCGCCCATGCGCCCACAGCCACAGCCACACGTTGCCAGTCCAAACTCCATGTTTGCCTTGGAGCAGGTGCTGGGAAAGTCTATGGGAGGGAGCTTCTGCCCCAGCTCAGTGAGTGTAGATAAGGCATGGCCCTTCCTATGGAAAAATGTCATCACCCTCTTTCCAACAGAGCCCTAAGCAATGGTAGAAGATCTGTCCTACGGGCCTGGCTGTCTCTTGCGAAAACTGAGCTCTGGAAATAATATTTACTCAGTGGTCAGCTCTTCTATGGAAAACACAGCAAAGACATTTGGAAACACAAATACTAGTGTCTTTCCGCTGCAGACGAGGAAGAGGGGGGCAAGGTGGCGTGGATGCAGGGCACGGAGGTGCAAGCCTACAATTCCAATCGAGGGAGGTAGAGCCAGGAGGACCACCTCCAGTTCAAGGCCAGCCTGAGCTACAGAGTAAGATTCTGTACCAAACAAACATGCCAAGAAGGTGAATCAAGGGCCTCAGCGGAGGACTGCCAGGAAACTCTGTGGTTGCTGGGGCTCCTTAGCTGCCGCTAAGTCATGACGCCAGTCACTGTATAGAGCTTGACAGCCCCCACTGCTTGGACATGTGTGTGAGAAGTAACCACAATGGCTGCTATGCTCATCTGAATGATGAGAAGTAGCTGTGGCCTTGTACATAGTCCGAGGTACGTGGTCCAGCTGTGTGGCTAGGGTTGCGGCACTGGTGTTCCAGGTGGGAGAGATTGGCACCTGGTTAACACACAAGGTATTTAAAACAAAGGTGTGTGCCTCGCAAGCAGAAGGACGAGAGAGAGAGAGAGAGAGAGAGAGAGAGAGAGAGAGAGAGAGAGAGAAATACACAGAAGTATTTTATTTGGTGGTGCATGCTTGTAAACCCATCACTGGGGAGGTAGAGACAGTTGTACCCTGGCACTCACCGAATGGCTACTCTTGTCTCTTGTCTGTTCAAGCTAGCGAGAGACACCATCTTCAAAAAAAAGGTGTGATCCCTAAGAAACAACACCAATGGTTCCTAGTTCCCTTCTGATCTCAACTATGCACATACTCCACCTTACACACACGCACCCCCTCCCACACGTAAAGAACTGGGAGAAAAGGAGAGGAGATAGGGAGGAGAGTTCAGGGCAAGGTGGCTGCGCGTGGGCTCGCCTTGCTCACGGGAGATGTACCTCTCATGTGTATGTCCACATAGTCCGTGACCGCAAGGATCGCCATGTAGGAGGACAAAGGTGGCAAGACAGTTCAGCAGGCAAAGCACCTGGATCCAAGCCTTATAACCTGACTTCAGTCCCCAGGATCCACATGGTAGAGAGAGCTGACATCTTACATTGTCCTATGAAACTCGTAATTACACACAAGCACACACACACACAAGTAAATGTTTGTGTGTATGCGTGTGCTTTAAAGAGCAAAGGTGACCTGACCCTGTGCTTGATGTAACCTCCCCCCCCCCACCTCCCGCACTGTGCCCTTTGCTACTCCACCATTCTGCTTTCATCCACACTCAGCCAGGCCAGAGCCTGGGGACCGCAGCCTCCTGTCGCCTCCCTCGGCTCCAGGCAGTGATATCAACCTGAATGCTGTCAGGTCAAGGCAAGTAGCAGATAAAAATAAGAGGTGCGATCCTTCCTGTGGAAGATGGAAGAACTTGCTTCCCCCTTTCGTAAGGGGTGGCTGTGTGCAGCCCTTCATCATGGGGACTTTCTCCTGTAGCTATGCAAAATCTCTCTCTCTCTGTTTGTTTTTTTTTTTTTTTCTTCAGTTTTTCGAGACAGGGTTTCTCTGTAGCTTTGGAGCCTGTCCTGGCACTAGCTCTTGTAGACCAGGCTGGCCTAGAACTCACAGAGATCCGCCTGCCTCTGCCTCCCGAGTGCTGGGATTAAAGGCATGCGCCACCACTGCCCTGCGCAAAATCTCTTCAAGGACTAGGCAGATTTAGCCAGTTGCAGCAACCGGGAACATTCACCTCGGTCCTGGACCATCTCTGGAGACACAGGCCACAGTTCTGGGTCTCTGTGGGAAGCAAGACTCGACTTTGCGAGCATCAGCTCCAAGGCACCAAATCCTCTAGCAGGAGGAAGGAAAGCTTGCCCTGCCTCCGGGTGAAGTCTTGTGATTGATGGGCTCCTTTCTGCCTGGGTGGTTCTTCGCAGCCAGGCTCCTGCCTCATCTGGTTCCTTGGTAACCAGAGCCATACCTGCAGCTGTGGAAAGTGACTTCAGGTCTAGCTCCAACAGCGCTCCCTGTTGGTGGGCGGCTCTCATGACTCCCGACGTCACCCCCTCTCTACACCACCAGAAGGGAAGGGCGTTCTTTTCCTCTGTTCAAACTTCTGATGGCGCCCTCTCAGAGAGCTGCTTTCCCAAGGCTGCCTTCCCAGTCAGTGTGCAATCCCATGCCCGCCACCCCTTTACAGCTACAGCACCTGCCTCCTGATCCCTGGTCCAACACAGTGAGCGCACTTTCCTTGTCCCCCACACAGTGGGACGCTGGTCATTCCCACCATGCTGTATTGTCATACATATCTGGGCTCCAGCAGAGGCCTGTGGCTACCTCATCCAACTGGGCACTCTGTCTCAAGGTGATGGTGTCAGCACATGGCATGAAACTGTCTTCCCACAGTGGAAATCCCACTGACGGACCCTTGGCTATGAGACAGACCTTCGTCCTCAGCTACGGATTTCCACCTCCTTGCACCCTGAAGGCTGTCTCAGTTGCTGCGAGTCGGTGAGGCACATCCAAATGACACCCTTGGTGTGCGAGGGCAGAAAGCCTCTGAGGGACTGGCCCTGTTCTAGAGAACTTGACCGTGAAGTTCAGATGGAGAGAAATTAGGCGATTTCTTTTTCTTCTTTCTTTTCCTCCCTCTTTCATTCCTTCTTCCTCCCCTCCCCACTTCCCACAGGGTCTCTAGCCCAGGCTGTGGAACTTTAGATTTCTGCTGCTCCTGCCCTACCACCCAGCGCTGGCGTTGCAGTCATGAACCAACACGCCTGTTTCGGAGGTGCTGACCCCCCAGCCCAGGGCCTGCTGCATGCTAGATGTGTGCTCTGTCAATGGGGCAATAGTCTCAGCGCTGTTTCTCGCAAGTCAGTTTGACGGGACTCTATAAAGGTGGGGATCATCTTCATCTCATTTCAGCCAGCATTTCCCAGTGGCTCCCTAAGACCTGGAGACCCTGCCACAGGCCCTGCTAACCCCTCAGGCACCATTGTCCTGGCTCCAGGAAGAGAGCCTGTGCTGGGCAGTGCCTGGGTCTACCTCTGAGATGCCTAGACGCTTTGCTCAAGCCACCGAGAGCTTCAAGATCATGATGGGGGGGGTCTGATGTGATGAGAGACATGGTGAGCGCAGGGTCTGGAGGGGAGATTTATAGCTGAGTTCACTTGTCCCGGGGCCAAACCATCAGGACCTCATGCTTTTGTAGGGAGTGTATGAGTGAGTGTGTGTGTGTTTGTGTGTCAGATGATATTCCTCTAGTGCCAAACACCTTGTTGTTATTATTTCTTTGTCTGTATGGGTGTTTTGCCTGAATTATGTATATGTACCACATGTGTGCAGTGTTTGCAGAAGCCAGAAGAAGTGATTGTTAGAACTGGAGTTACAGATGGTTGTGAGCTACTACATGGGTGCTGGGAATCAAACTAGGGCCTTCTGGAAGAGCAGTCAGTGCTCCTAGGTGCTGAGTCATCTCTCCTGCCCTCATACCTTGTTCTTTTGTTTATTGTTTTTGTTTTTGTTCTTTTTGGAGACAGGGTTTCACTGTGTAATAGCTAGCCTTGGCTATCCTGAAACTCACTTTGGAGACCAGGCTGGCCTGGAACTCACAGAGATTCACCTGCCTCTGCCTCCTGAGTGCTAGAATTAAAGATGTGTGCCACCCCCGCTGGAGTGCCTTGTTGTTTTGAGACAGCACTTCTCATTGGCCTGAGCTAGCCCCAAGAGACCCACCGGTCTCCACGTTCTCAGTGCTGGAATTACAAGTAGATTCTCCTATGCCCAGCTTTTTCTAATGTAGATCCTGGAGGCTCAAACTCGGCTCCTCGTTGAATGGGCAGTGAGCACTTTCCCATGCTGAGCCAGTTCCCCAGCCTTGTAGGGAAGGCTCAGTACGACTATAACCTCATCTTTGTGGCAACACACTTGCTTCGGCAACTGTGACCGTCAGGCGAGTGAGTGGCTGGATCACAGATGGCGCTCCGTGGACTTGGCCTGCCGCAGAAGAGGCTGCTGAGCCCTGATGGAAGTCAGGCTGGGATTGTGTTCACAAGAGCCCAGGGAGCTCTTCTGGCAGTGTGGCATTGTCGTTCACCCAGGTCCCTCCACCCACAACGCTCTGCCGCTCTGCTCTGACTCTGGGCCCCACACTCCTGGACCCCTTTGGTTGCCTATTATCCTTCCCTATGAAGCTGCCCTGCCTGTCCTTCAGGGACTCCCTCTGCCTCGAATAGAGGTACCTCCTCCCTCTGCTCAGACCTTGCCATGCTCTAGAGATGCCTGTGCCTCCTCAGAGCCTGAGTGGGCAGAGGTCTCACTCGGTATTTGCCATCTGGGAGGGGCCCTATCTCATTTCACAGGGAGGTGCCCAACAAGCTGGTGGAGGCCAGGGTGAGGGCCTCTGGTTGTTCCTCTTTGTTGGCCACTCTCCCCTCGTCTCTCACATCTTCTGCCTCTACCAGGCTGTGGAGAAGCCGTCATGCCTTACCTGCATCGGTCTCTGAAGCCCCAGCCACACCCAGTCCCCGGGGATGCCCGGACTATCCACTCTTCGGGTCAAAGCTTTGAACAGTTGAGGCAGGGTTGCCTACAGTCGAGAACCTTGTTTGAGGATGCTGACTTCCCTGCCAGCAACAGTTCCCTGTTCTACAGCGAGAGGCCCCAGGTCCCCTTTGTGTGGAAACGACCAGGGGTGAGTAGGGTGAGAGGGAGGAGAGACAGGAGGGGGATAGGGATAAGGGGAGAGAGGGGGGCAGACTGAAGGGGATGGAGAAGAGCCAGTCACTTGTAAGACCACTTTCTGTCCTTTGTGGGAGGCTCTCTGGTAGTGTGCTGGCTGGAGACACCTTCAGCTGTTCCCCGGCCACATTTGGCCTCCAGCTGAGTCCCACTGCTTCTGGAGACACACAGAGAGCAGGTCTCATCTATGACCTGTGAGCAGGATCAGAGCTGTAGCATCAGAGCATCAGTGCTCTGGTGACTTGGTAAATCAGAACACAAAGGCAAACTATCCAGGATGGCAGGTGCAGGAGTGGGCCGGGGGTGGGGGGCAGTCAGTTGAGATGTGTGTGATGTATTAGGAGACAGCCAGCCCTGCTCTGAAGCTTTTGGTCTGGAGCTGAGGATGAACCAGGGGGTTAGGTGGATGTTGCTACAGGTTCTCAGCAAGTCTGTGATACCTGGACCCCAGGTAAAGCGGGGCTCCTTTTCCAAAGCAACACACACCACTCCCAGAAAGACAAAGCCAGTGGGTGCCTAGGAGGCCCCAGCTGGTGCTCAGGACACACGGTCAATATTTGCAGCCCTCATTAGTCGGGGCCCTCCCTGTTAACCAGGGCCATGACGCTGCACCCTCTGGGTGGGAACAGATGTTGTGTGCGGGGAGGGGCAGTGGACCGGCTGCTGCCTCACCTATAGGTGACTGAGGTGGGTCCTGGCGGGCACACAAGTGTCCTTAGTAAACAACATATTTTCACTGTTAGCATTGCTGTGTGCTTCTCCATCATCAGCCGCTCAGAATCTTATCTTGACATTTTATTTGTTTATTCATTTACTTGTGTGTATGTGTGTGTGTGCACATAGGTGCCACAATGGTCATGTGACGGTCAGATGACAACATGCAGGAACAGGTTCTCTCCTTCCACTATATGGGTCCCAGGAATCAAATTCAGGCCATTGGCCTTAGGCATAAAGTGCCTTTACCTGCTGAGCCTCTTACCAGCCCTGATTTATTCTGCCTGAAGGCGTGAATAAATAAACAATATTCCATAGCCCATGTATGGAAGTCAGGGAACAACTCCTGGGAGTTTCTTCGCTACCTTGTGAGGTCTGGGGGTCACACTCAGGTCCTTGGGCCCATATACAAGTGCTCTACCTACTGCGCCATCTTGCCAGCCTTCAGCCCTCATCCTTCTTACTGTAACCACTGCCTCCTCTTGCACATCGTTCCAGTGATGTCAGTGTGCTCAATACACGACATGTCTAAGTTTTAGAAAACACACAAGAAAGACATCATGGCTCCTGGGGGCATGAACTATAAACCAGTGAGGTTGTCCCAGGTTGGGAATGTAATGATTTGTTCTGTCCTGGGAGAGGACAGCAGAAGAGGACAACAGTGTGCCGGGCTGTACAGAGAAGGCCACACAGCCACCCTGAGACACAAAGATGGAGGAGGAGCTGTTCTGCTGCCTCGTTGTCTGCCCTGGGCATGGCGGATGGGGTCAATTAATGGACGGACTCCAAGGTTTCTGGGGCCGCGGGCCAGTACGAAAGGTTGTGCAGGGTCTCGGGGAGAAGCTGGCCTCCCATGTCGGTCTTCTGCCAGGCCTGGGCTTCTGGCACAGCCAACGGCACAGTCTGTCCCCAGAACCCTCCCCCTAAGGTCACATGAACACGTTAGAAACAAATAAAGGCACAGAGCCCTTCTTCAGCAGGTGACCTAGGACACTACACGCCCCAAAACTGCCACATCCTGAGGGCCTCATGGAGAGCACCCTGCTTTCACTTCAGCCCCTGGCCTTAGTAGACCCCCACTCCCACCATCTCTCTGGGAACGAAGCCCAGGGAGGAAACAGACAATTTGAACTGCTAGGAGGAGGAGGAGTTGCAGCTGGAGCTACCCCAGGATCCTCTCAGAGACTCCTGGGGTAATGGAAAAATTAAAAATGCTGCAGGATCCCCAGTGGTGGCAGGCAGTGGGCAAGGGGTCCCGAGAGCAGCCAGTCCCAGGCAGGGGTGACTGCAGGTCCCCGAGTGGTGGCTGGTCCAGCTCAGGAAGACACGCGGCGGCAGTGGGCAAGAGACAGAGACATGGATAGGCACGCCAGGCAGAGATGCAGAGTGAGGTTGGATATTTATTAAGTGGGTTATGAAAGTATGGAAGGGAAGGGGGGAGAGAAGAGCAGAGAGAAAGAGACAGAGACGAGAGAGAGAGAGAGAGAGAGAGAGAGAGAGAGAGAGAGAGGCGAGAAGGGAGAGAAAGGAGAGACTGAAGCTGTCTCTCAGAGAGGAAGATGGAAAAGAGAAAGAACTCTGGCTGGAAGCTGAAGATCAGCCTGCCCCAGGAGATAGGGAGAGAGTGGGCGTGGCTTGTCTCTTAAAGAGACAGAACAAATCATTATATTCCCATCTCTTTTTTATCTAGTGACTGCTATGATGATCCCAGCAACCAGCAGGCTCAGGCAGAAGGAACCCAAGTTCAAGGCTGGCTTGGACTAGACTGGGGAGTACAAGGCCAGCTGGGGCAACTTCATGAAACATGTCTCAAAATAAAATAAACCTGGGGATGTAGATGGGTGGTAGGGCAGTTGCTGAGCATGCTGAGCCCTGGGAGCCGTGCTCAGCACAGGCAGAAGGGCAGAAATAAGGTTCCCACTGGAGCTATCTGTTACCTCTGCCGTGTCAGGGGTCCCGAGACCCCTGCTGTTCTGCTAACGGGTGACTGCCATCTCGGGCTTCGTGTGTCATGACTTCGTTCTTACGAGATTCTAAACACTTTTTCATATATACACATCTTAGAGGATGTGGTGGCACAGGCCTTTTATTCTAGCATCTGGAGGCGGAGGTAGGAGGATCTCTATGAGTTCAAGGCCAGCCTGGTCTTCATAGCCAATTCTAGGACAGCTAAAGTTACATAGTGAAACCCTGTCTCAATAAACCCCACATGTCCCATATAAGTGCTTTTACTTTTTAATGTTCTTTATAGAACTTTCCATATTAGGTTTCTATGTTAATGTTTATAGTAATATACATAAAATACACACACTTACTCTAAATTCCTAATAGAGTGATGTGTAATAAAGCATTCCTAGTACATGTGGACTAAATTACGTGTGACATAAAGACATCCCTCTAGATGTGGTGCAGACACAGACAACCTATTGAGAAAGGAAAGCAGCTGGGTAGGGTGTGGGGAAGCTGGCCTGAGGAGCTGATCACGTGCTCATTCTATGGAGAAGAGTTCAAAGGCCCGCAGCTGGTAATTCTCGTGGTAGGGGGCTACATAGAACCAGCCTGTCCCTGCCCCACACCAAGGCTTGGTATGTGGCTGGCACTTCCTGGTGAGACACCATGTGAGCTTCTATAGACAAAGGTGCCTGTGCCAGGCTCTTCCCTGAGCTGAGCTATGGATGGACTAAACTGAGTTCCGGAAGGTCAGAGTGTACATCCTTGGCAGTTTTTCCTCCTCCTGTCTTTCCAGGAGAATCTTCTTCCCCCGAGGGGACTGCCTTTCTCTCTGTAATGGTTGCTATGCTTTGGGCCTTTCCCTAAGGTACTCTTACCCTCCAGGAAATTGTGGAAAACCCAGAATTCATTCTTGGAGGAGCCACCAGGACTGACATCTGCCAAGGGGAACTGGGTAAGTAGAGAGGAGAGGGGACGACAGGGGATGACACTTCAGTGCCCCAGAGTGAGAGCAGCACCGGCCCCTTGGGATCAGGAAACAGGGCTGGGCAGAGCAAGGCTGCCACCCTGTCTGCTCCCTCCCTAGTCTTCAGCTTCCTTCCCTGCAGGGAGCCCAGTGGTCTCCCCACCCCTGCCACTCCTGCTTTTCTGGTATGTAGTGCTTGGGCTCTGGGCCTGGCCAGAAGTTTCCAGAGAGTTGAGCCTCCCCTTAAACCAGCACCTGATTCAGAGGCTCCCAGCCCTTCAGCTCCTCATGGTCACCTCATGGTTTCATAGCTCACTGACGCCTATACCGTGAACTTATGCACCTGCCAGATACACTCCCTAAGCTTGCACACCATTGTTCCTATTCCCAGACACCTCCCAAGACTGCACATCAGGAAACTGAGGCAAGGGAACCAAGCAATATGTCCAAGATCATGAATGATAGCTGGCAGTCAGATTGCAAAGCCATTTGTCAACAGAAACCTCACTTCTAGCTATTACATCACAGTGGCTTTCAGGCTCCCAGCGGGAAATCAATCCAGAGCATCAGAGTTAGGGCAAAACTTACCCTTGCCGGATATGTGAAAAACAAACACGTCATAGAATCTGCTAAAGAAGGAAGCATGGCTTGTGTAGATTGAGCTACTCAGAGCCCAGGCTGTCACCGTGATCCTTGTGGTTAGAACACTGGAATCTCAATGTCTTCACTGAGTTTCTTCACATAGAATCACAAAGCCAGATGCTGAAACTGGTGACATTAGACTAGATTGAGAAAGATAGATAGATAGATAGATAGATAGATAGATAGATAGATGATAGATAGAATATGGATAAGGATATGTAGATGATAGATTGAAGACAGATAATAGATGATAAATTGAAGACATAATATATATAGGTAGATTATAAAAGATAGTCAATATATAACAAGATTGATAAATGATAGCTAACAGATAGATGGTAGAAATAGATATACAAGATTGATAATATAGATAGATGATAGAAAAATAGATAATGACATACCATACAAAATCGATAAATCATACATAAATATACATACATACATAAATATGATTGACAGATGATAGATGGTACAATTGATAGATGATGGATGGTCAGTGAATGGATGGATAGAAGAATGGTGGATAGGTAAATGTTGCATGGGTAGATTAGTGATGAAGGACAGTAGATGGATGGACAGGCAGATGAATGGTGAATGGATGGATGATGGCTCGAGCTGGATGAGTGAGCGATGAGTAGATGATATATAAATGATACATAGATGGATAGATGGATGGAGAGACTGCTAGAAGTTCAAGACCAGTCTAGGCTATATACCGGGGTCCAGGTCAGCCTGGTATACAGAATGAGAAAAGAGCAAAAAGGAAAAAAGGAAAGAAGAAGGAAGAAAGGAAGGGAGAAAGGAAGGCTAAGGAGCCTCCCTGGAGCTGTTGCTGCTCAGAGCTGAACCAAGCCTGGTCTAGCAGAGGCAGTAGCCCAGGACTGCAGCAAACACCACTCGGTTGTTTCCGAGACCCCTTCCCCACCCTGACTCCAGAGCCACTGAGACACATCGTGCAGCTCTGGTCCTCTGGGACCTTATGAAGATGAGATGCAACCACTCAGCAAAAGCTGCCCCAGTATCTAGTAGGCACACAGAGCATGACAGAAGAGCAGGCTGAACGGGGGAGGGGACCGAGAGATTCACTGTCACTCAGTCGTCTTTAGAAAAGTGGAAATGTGTCTCCATACCCCTCGGGACTGACTCCTGAGAATCAGCAGCAGAAAGTCTGATGCCTGTGTGACCTTCACTCTGCAGGAGACTGCTGGCTCCTGGCGGCCATCGCCTCCCTAACCCTCAACCAGAAAGCACTGGCCAGGGTGGTTCCCCAGGACCAAGGCTTTGGCCTTGGCTATGCCGGGATATTTCACTTCCAGGTAAGGAAATCCTCAGCTTTTGGGTTTGTTTCTGGGGGAGGAGGCTCAGGAGAAAGTGTGTGCAGCTTTGTACTGTTGACAGCTCTGGGAGCTGTGTGATAGTGTGCATGAGTCCTAGTGTGAACCGTGGGGATCTTCTGCAGGGATTTCTAGAGGCAGCAAGCATCAGGAAAGGAGGCGCACACAGTGTCCTCAGGGAAACACAGCTGCTCCTCTGGGAGCCAGGACATGTCTCATAAGCAGAGCAGCTCCCTTCACTGAGGAAGTGCAGTTGGGGAGCTGTTGGAGGCTTTCAAACAGAAAACTGAGAAACACGGTCACACAAGCCACGACCTTATGTGACAGCTGATGGTGAGGCTTGTCCCAGGAGTCTGATCCTATTGTTATCTTGCTTCCTCTGCCGATCTCTCTCTACCTAGGTAAGCACACGTGTAATACACAAATGAGCACAATGTACAAACACGTTCATAGGTGTATAGACTCACATATGTGTGTATACCTACCTGATTTCATAAATACACACATGCACTAACATGCCTGTGCAAAGACACACATGCTTCTATACATGCAGGCAATGCACATTCTTGCATTATCATACCTGTGGACTCATACACGGTACACCCACATAGATGCGCTAGCTCACATATATGCACAATCACACATGTGCACACAGGCATGCGCACACACACATATACACATTCACCCACATATTCACATATACACATTCTGTCCCACACACAATCACGCTTGGTGCTCACCCTCTGTACTGGTTTCTTTCTGTCTGTGATAGAGCCCTTTGATGGAAGAATAACCTAGAGGAGGACAGGGTTTATTCAGCTTATACTTTCAGGTCACGGTTCTTCACCGAGCGGAAGTCAGGGCAGGAACTCAAGCAGACACCATGGAGCAATGGTTTGCTCACTAGCGCATGCTAGGGGTCTTACACAGGATGGGACTGTCTGCTGAGGGCAGGGCCCCCACAGGGAGCTGAGCTCTCCCACATCAGTCAAGTCAAGCTCTCAGACCCGGCCACAGGTCAACCCAGTCTGCGCAATTCCTCAACTGCTATGCTGAGATGACTCCAAGCTGTGCCAGGCTGACAGTTGATGCCATCTAGAATGCCCACACAGTGCACAGTTAAGGGTATACATACATAGATTAACCCACAAGTACATGCACATGAACACACACCTCGTGCATGCACATGAACACTCACAGACATGTTCACAAACATAAGTATGTATATGGGTACTCAAGCCCATAAAGGCTATGTTCACACATGCATACACCCAAACAGACTCTCAGGTACATTACCCATATGACCCTCATTTCCACATGCATGGCACATAGGGAAACCAAGTCCATACATTCATGTTGGAGCTCTGTCTGTGAACCAAGCGGGACTATGCGGGTTGGAAAGTGTGGGATAATGAATGGCCAGGACAAGGTAGGAGTATACACAGAGACTGGGCTGTGTGGGAACAGAGCTGAGCCCATATACCACCCTCCACTCCCACCTAACCTGGTGCCCTATGGAGAAGATGTGTTAGCTCAGAACACAAAGGTGTCTATTGTGACAGATTCCTCACCCACTTCCATGGTGACACAGTCCTGGAATTGAATTTTATGATGGATGAAAGCCCAGTATATGGTGAGTGGACAAGTCCAGGTAGCCTTGCTGTGACACCTGGGTTACCCTGCTATGACTCCCAGATGACTCTGCCACGACGTTCATGTGGCCCTGTGTGACACCAGATAAGATTCTCCTTGGAGCACAAGGGAAGTTTGCTCGGAGGGAGGACCCAAGGGGTGAGCATTTACCGTGAGGACCACACCTTGGGACTCACCCTTGTCTCCTCAACTTGCCCTGGCACCAGTTCTGGCAGCACAGCGAGTGGCTGGATGTCGTGATCGATGACCGCCTGCCCACCTTCAGGGACCGCCTGGTCTTCCTCCATTCTGCTGACCACAATGAGTTCTGGAGCGCACTGCTGGAGAAAGCCTACGCCAAGTGAGTGGGGCTCCCGCCTCCCGTTCCCGGAGGCCCAGGCTCATCCGCTCACAGGGACGTTTGCTGGAGAAACTGATGTGGTTAGTAGGGAAGACTGCTCACATCTCCTAGGACACAGGCAGACAAGCCTGATGCATCGGTCCACAGTGACAGAACAATTGATGAGACCTACCTCAGGTTAGAGAAAAGCCGGAAGCTAGCCATGGGAGGGAAAGGTTACGCACCGGTGCATAACCTTGCATAAGTGGACGGAGGGAGCTGGAGCACAGGGTCGATGCTTCCATCAGAAGCAGCGGTGAGAAGTGCATGTGTATAAACGTAGGTTATACACGCAAATACAAAATGCTAGGTTGGCCGTCAATGGCTGTAACCCCAGTGCTGTAAGGAACAGGGGCAGGAAGGTTTCTGGAGTTTGCTGGCCATTGTCCTAGCCCCAGACTCAGTGAGGGAACAAGGAGGAGAGTGATAGACATGACATTCACAACCCTCCCCTGGCCTCTGTGTGTGCACACAGGCATATGCATCCATACACACATGTGCATATACACAACAGCTGCTCACATACATTCACACACACACACATACACACACACACACTTCAAGAAGAAGCTGGGCATGGTGATGAATGTCTTTAACCCCAGCCCTGGGAAAACTGAGGTAGGAGGATCAATATAAGTTTGAGCCCAATCTGGCCTGCATAGCAAGTTTCAGGCTAGCCAGGCTATATAGCAATATTGTGTCTTAAGTTTTTTTATTTTTTCAATTAGAAGCTGAATGTGGTAACTTACTCCTACAGTATTAGAACTGGAGAATCTGAGACTGAAGGATTGCTATGAGTTTGAGGCCCACTTGGTCTATGGAATCAGGGCCTGGCTCAACAAAGAACAATGAAAAACAATCACGTTGTGGAATATTTGTTTAACTATATAACAATGTGCTGCATTTTTCTAACTGTGTAAAGATGTGTTGCTGTTTTATCTTGCCTGCCTAAAGGCACCTGATTAATCTAATAAAAAACTGAATGATCAATACAGAGGGAGGAGATATAGGTGGAACTTCCAGGCTGGGCAAGTAAGTAGGAGGAGGAATTTAGGCTTGGGGAAGAAAGAAAAGAAATGCCAGGGAGACGCCAGGGAGACTCCAGGGGCCAGACCAGACACAGAGGAAGCAGGAAAGTGGGAACGCAGAATGAAAGAAAGGTTAAACAAACAAACAAACAAACAAGCAAACAAACAAAAACTCCAAGGCAAAATGTAGATGAATAGAAACAGGATAAATTAAATTAAAAGAGCCAGTGGGACAAGCCTAAGCTAAGATCGAGCATTCATAATTAATACAGCTCTAGCCGGGCGGTGGTGGCGCACACCTTTAATCCCAGCACTCGGGAGGCAGAGGCAGGCGGATCTCTGTGAGTTCGAGGCCAGCCTGGTCTACAAGAGCTAGTTCCAGGACAGNCAAAACTCTAAAATTTTCTACCAATAAATTATCTGCTTAAACAGAATCATGGGGATGGTGTAGTTCAAGTAGGAGCTCCATGAATGATCCTTTGTGGCCATGTGCTTCTTTTCTCATGATTGCCATTTTCTCTGTGATTTGACACAGAGAGGCACCTTTCTTCAGAAGTAAGAACCTTTGCTTAGCTGAAATGCTCTGGATGCATTGGTCATTTTCTTGTGACCACAGAGCCCTTTCTGACAAGCGTGACCAGTGGTTTTATACCCAACTAAACTGACTTTGAAGTATTGAAGCTATCCAAGACAGATTCAAATCTTCAAGAGCTAGAGGAGCCGGGCGGTGGTGGCGCACGCCTTTAATCCCGGCACTCGGGAGGCAGAGGCAGGCGGATCTCTGTGAGTTCGAGGCCAGCCTGGTCTACAAGAGCTAGTTCCAGGACAGACTCCAAAACCACAGAGAAACCCTGTCTCGAAAAAGAAAATTAATACATCTCTGTGTTTTTATTGGGGAGCTGGTTGGCAGTCCAAAGAAAATTCCAGCTACAAATCTCAGTACTTAGGAAGCTGAGGTAGGAGAACAAACAAAAAAAAACGGGCAGATTAAACACACAAAGCATGTTCAGCAGGAAGACTGTGGGAGTGCTCCACAGACTCTTCCCCTTGCCAGCCTCGGTTGCTCAGCTGGCTGGTGCCCAGGGCTTGCCCCACTACCAACCACTGTCTTTCCTCATAGAGTCCGGCTTGCGCTCTGCGGACTGAGCAAACCCTCTCCCTGTCCCTCCACCCCCTCAAACAATCAACTCTTCCATCGTCGTAGGCTTAACGGGAGTTATGAGGCACTGAAAGGGGGCAGCACCATGGAGGCCATGGAAGACTTCACTGGGGGTGTGGCCGAGACCTTCCAAATGCGAGAAGCACCGGAGGACCTCTATGATATTCTGGAGAAGGCCTTGAAGCGTGGTTCCCTGCTGGGCTGCTCCATAGATGTAAGTGGCTGGCCAGCCATCTAAGCACCAACAACAGAAGCAGCAACCCAGAAGGGACTTGAGCATGGTCATCTTTAATTACCACACAAGGTGGTAGAACACTTGCCTGGCTTGCAGGCAGTCCTGGGACCCGTCCCCAACACTGTATAAGAGAGACTGGGGAGACACAGCTGTGACTCCCAGCACTCAAGAGAAGGTGGCAAGAGGGTCAGAAGTTCAAAGTCATCTTCCACTCCATAACCGGAGGACAGGCTGGGATACGCCAGATTGTCTCAAACAAACAAGCAAATGCAAGCTTTTATTTAATGCGTGTTGGGTTGCAAAAGGCAAATATCCCTGCAGCCAAGTGAGGCACCCGTGAGGTCTGGAAGCATGGGGTCTGTGTCTCCTGTCAAACCCAGGGCTGCTTCCCCAGCAGCACAGCAGCCAGGGCGCTGGCTGTGCTCAACGTCAGAGCTGTCAGGCTGCTGCCCATCAACGCTGATGTCATCCCACCCAAGGGACCCTCCAGTGTGCTTTTCTGAAATGTGTTCCTTTTACTTTCTATGCCATGCAAAAAAAAGCCACCAGATAGAAAGCCAACCGCATTTTTCTAATTCCGCTATGCGGTAGGATACATACGTAGGTATAACTTCATCCCCTCTGCTTTTGAAAGCTACTCAAGTTCCCCTTTCTTTTTGGATTAACTATAAAAATCTGTTTTTTTATAAACGCTTCTCCTGAAGATTCATGTTTTGTGACCAAATCACGTTACCAGGGTATGCCTCTCCTCTGTGTCACTGTGGGTGCCATCTACCCATCTATAACCAGGGTGGCTAGTTTCTGTTTGGAGATAGAAAAGCAAACTCATTTCAATCTATGGGGCCGTCATCCCCCCCCCCGACACCCTTGGAAGAGATTGGTCTTGCTGTCTATCACTGATAAACCTATTAGGGCATCCTGCACCCCCAACTTCTAAGACTTGCATACATGGTTGCCCTAGCGGAACTGAGGACTGGGATGTGCGAGCTGGGCATAGGGCTGGGGCTAGGGCTGATCCGGGGAGTCGGGGTCAGAGGATGGGTATGACCCTTGTTCTTCCTTTGTTCTAGATCCTGGATGCCTCTGAATCTGAAGCCCGCACACCTTTTGGTCTCATTAAGGGCCACGCCTACACTGTGACTGGGCTGGACCAGGTAGGGGTGGGGCCCACTTTAGGAGACTGAGGTCGGGAAACAGGACAACACCGGTCTTCAGATTTGCTGTGAGCAGAGAACAGACTACCTAACACAGGTGGGCTGGGGTGAAACACAGCAGGCAGCAACCAGAGAGCAGGCAGGTGATCTCACTCCGAACTCGCCATTTGGGATTTGCAGTTGGTCTGAGCTTATGGTTCTTTGTTTGGTTGGTTGGTGGCTTGATTGGTTTTTGGAGACAGGGTTTCTCTGTGTAGCCCTGACTGTCCTAGAACTCGCTCTGTAGACCAGACTGGCCTCAAACTCACAGAGATCCACTTGCTTCTGCATTCTGTCCACAGACAAGGTGCTTGCTCGTTTCTGAACGTGAGATTTCTGACAAGAGTTGGCTCGTATGATTACAGAACCATGAGCTCCCGAATTCTGAGGCTTGAATTGTTTCCTTTTTTCTTGTCTGAGATAGAAGCTCACATACTTTAGGCTGGCCTTGGACTTGTTATATTGTCAAAGATGGTCTTGAAGTTTTGGTTCTCAGGCTTCTACCACCCAAGTGCCTCAAATGGATGGACCATCTGGGGTAGCGTTGCACATCATCTGTAGCCCCAGCATCCTGTTACTCCAGCAACGGAAGGCTGATGCCAGCCTGGGTTACACAGCAAGCTCGAGATGAGCCTGGGTGCTTAGTGAGACTCTGTCTCAAAAGAAAATGAATTTCTCACCAGGCCTGGTGGTGTAGGCTTATAATCCCAGTACTTAGGAAGCTGGGATGGGAGTGTGGGAAATCGAAGGCCAGGATATAGAGAAACCTGTCTCAGAAAAGCAGAGTGGGCCTGAAAGAAGATGTGTTTGGGCAACACAACTCCAGTATGTTTTACCCACGAGCCTGAATAATGTCGCCATACATAGAAACGGACCCGGGTCTCCCGGATGACTAAAGCCAATGTCAGGCTCGTCACACTGTTTCCTTGCGCTTTTTCCTTTGAGGTAAACTTCCAAGGCCGGAGAATCAAGCTCATCAGAGTTCGAAACCCTTGGGGCCAGGTGGAGTGGACCGGGCGCTGGAGCGACAGGTGAGAGGCTCCGTTCCTTCTCCGTGGCCAGCTCCATGTGTCTGGAGACCTGTGCAGAACTCCCTGATTCTTCCCTTCAGGCCTCACTTAGGATACCTATGTCAAACTTGATCCTGGATAAACAACTCTCAGGATAGCTCTTTCACCGCCACGCGGTCACATTTGCGGATAGTTACTGCCACTGGGGTATCAAGAAGGACTTTGACTCCAGTTCCGGGAATCCATGTATGCATGTGTGCGTGAGTGAGTGTGCATGGGTGTTTGAGGCTGGGAATCCCTGAAACACTGCCAAGCAGGTCACTCTACGGCTCTTTCTGGTAGCCATTGATCTCTGGCGAAAGCCAACAGAGAAACAGAAAAAGAACAGGAAATTGGCCCATTACTAGACTCTTTCCAGGCTGTCCCCACCAGTCCTAGGGACAGTGATCCGATGACTGGGAATTGAGAAGACACAGCCTCTCCACAGCCCTGCAAGATTCTGGTGCTGCTGGTCCACATTTGTCCTTCTCAGATGTCAAGGAGACTGGCTAGGAAGGATTTGGACCAGGACTGCAAAGGAAGGGCAAGATGGGCCGCCCTCTGCCGGTGGAAATGGGGAGAACTGAGACAGAGTGAGGCCTGAATTAACAAGACTGACATTGAAACTAGAATTAACATGAGTTGCAGAATCAATCTATAAAAGGAAGCTGCCATTTTCCCCTTCTGAAACTCTGGCTGAAGGAGAAACAGAGGCTGCAGTTGGAGAAGGACAGAGGCTGTCTGCCCACAGAGCAGGTGGCATGACCATTCTAGTCCCTTGGGGTCCTATGCCGCCACGTCAAAGGCCTTGCTCAGCTGCCCATCATTGACTGCGTCCCACTTTGAAGAAGATGACTCAGCGAGTCAACAGAGACCCTTAGTTCTCTCTTCTGTCCTGTTGGGGCCCTCCCTGGATGCCATGAGCCCTGCCTAGCCCTGCCACACAGTCATCAAACCACAGCAGAAGTGACGAGATTTAAATGACAGCCACCCCCTTCACCTGAGGTCTCACCATCCAGATTATCAATTAAATATGGTCAACTGAGGTCTGAAAACACAGTATCAAATGGAAAATTCTAGAAATAAATATCAACCACCACTGTGTTGTGGTCTATTACAGTGTGTGTTCAAGTAACCTTATTCTACTTGACGACAGCCCCAAGTGTACGAGTAGTGACACTGGCCACTTAGGCCAGAGGAATCAGAAAATTCAACCTTCGTGTGAAAATATAAAAGTGCTTACCTTAATTAGGAAAGAAAAACAGTATATGTTGGGATTTCTAAGATCTACAGGATAATTAGAGCAATAGATAATAGATAGATAAATGATAGATAGATAGATAGATAGATAGATGATAGATAGATAGATGATAGATAGATAGATAGATAGATAGATAGATAGATAGATAGATAGATGATAGTATATGTTTGATGGATAGGTGGTGAATGGATTGATGGATAGATGATGGATGAGTGGATGAAGGATAAATTGTTGGGTTAGATAATGATAGAATGATAGATGAATGAATGCACTGATGATGGATAATGGACAAAGATATTAATGTATGGATGCATAGATGATTGATGGATGTATAGATGATGGACATATTGGTACATGATGGGTTAAAATGAGTGTATAGATGACTGATGGATTGTGTGTGGATGAATGGATAGCTAGATGACGTACGGATTGGCAGATAGAGAGATGATGGACTGATGGATGTGGAAGGTAATAAGTGGATGGGTAGATAATTGATGGCCTGATAGACAGATGGAGGTTGAAGGATGAGTGCACAGATGATGGATGGATAGAGCAAAGGAAGATGGGTAGGTAGATGATGGATTAGTGGACGGGTCCATGATGGATGGGTGGGTGATGTGTGAATGCACGGATGGAAAGACGATAACTAAATACTATAGGTGGATCCCTTGGGGATCCCAGAACCTACCCAGGCAAGGCTAGGGAGCCTGCTGGGTTAGAAGACAATGAGGGAGTCCAACACACACAGCACTGAGACCGGAATGCCAAGCTTGAGCAAGGGTGTCCGCGTTTCTCCTTGGCGGCTCTTCTGAGAGTGAGTTCTAGGTCTACTTGAGCCTTCCAGTTGGGGACTGAGGTTGGACTCAGCCACGGAAGACCCTTCCTGAGTTCCTGGTAGCATAAAGGAGGCAGTTGGTATTTCAAATGGCCCCCACAGGAGTTAGTAGCACTTTCCGCTGACAGTTTATAGACAAGGAGGCTTTGGCTTGTTCCAGGCCACAGGCAGGCTGTGAGTTAACGGCATGCATGAACCGTGACCTCCAACAGGGCTACTGTGTCAGTTCCTTGTGACTGGCCCACAATGACCTATGAAAGGACTGTCTACCAACAACACCTTCTAACCATTGTCACGCTGGAGCCAGCGGTGAGCTGGCCTCACGTCCCTGGGCCCAGTGAGCCTCACTAAGCAGGAGATGATCCCTACATTATGCATGTCTGGTTTGGTGTGACTCCAGGGTGGTGGCCCTGAACCCAGACTGAACTGTGGCTCTGATCTTTCAGCTCCCTCGAGTGGCGCTCTGTGGACCTGGAGGAGCAGAAGCGCCTGGGTCACTCTGCTCTTGACGATGGGGAGTTTTGGTAATGGCTTCCTTTCCATTTTTGCGTGCAATCAAGGTCATGTATCCAACAACTGCCCCTCTTTCTCCCTTTCCTTCCTCATCCCCTTCCCTCTTCCCTCTGTCTTTCTCCCTGTCTCCATCCTTCTGGGAGGGACCCCAGGAGTGTCCCCCTCTCCAGGAAGAGAGTTAGGTGGTTGACTGTGCAGAGAGCTGCTGCCATCGTCATGACGCCCAATAACGTGTCCTCGCCTCTGTCTCAGGATGGCATTCGAGGACTTCAAGGCCCATTTTGATAAAGTGGAGATCTGCAACCTCACACCTGATGCCCTGGAAGACAATGCCCTTCACAAATGGGAGGTGACCGTCCACCAAGGAAGCTGGGTTCGTGGCTCCACGGCTGGTGGCTGCCGCAACTTCCTGGGTAGGCGGCCTCTCTGTCATTCCGTCTCCTATTCCCATATCCAGTCTATCTGGGGACATGGAAGGGGCATGCTGTAGAGCTGGACAGCAAGCTCAGAAGATGACAGCCGAGTCTTAGGCAGGAAGCTGGCAAGAGACACCCAGGGAAATGCCCTGTTGTAAGGTTCAGGGGACACAGCCACAAGTCACACCAGGTTAGTGGGGGGACAGGATCTACTGCCCCAGAGAGAAGTGGGGGCAGGTATCAGAGCCTTAAAGGGCTGTGTGGGTAATGGTTGAGGAGGTGAAGGAAGCAGAAGACAGGAGTCTGAATACTGCTGAGGGTAAAGAAAGTAGGACGAGAGGGCCAACGGAAACAGAGAGGAAAGAGATCACCTCTCCAGGACTGGAAGCAAGCAGCAGGGGTGCAGTAGAGAGAGCATGTGTCCTTCTGAGTGTGGGTCTTGTCATTTTGGTCTTTGTGTTAGTGTTATGTGTGCTCACATGTATGAGCCCAGGAGTTGGGTTTTTATTTTGATTTTGTAATTTTTTTTTTCTGTGTGCTCATGTGAGTTGAGAAACAAAAGACAACCTTGACTGTGACTCCTCAAAGTCACCGCCTTGTTTTTAAGTCAGGGTCTCTCACTGGCCAGAAGCTCATCAAGGGGACTAGGCTGGCTGGTCAGTGAGTGCCAGGAATCTGCCTGGTTCCACATCCCCAGCTCTAACTGCATGTGCAATACCCACCTTGTGTTTTCACTTATCACATTTATTTAGTGTGTGTATACATACACGTGTGCTTGTGTGTGCAAACATCCATGTGCTTTCCATGGTGCACCAGTGGAGGCTGGGGGACAGCTTCTGGGAGTGGGCCTTCTCCCTATGTCTTGTGGGTCTCAGGTTATCAGCTTTGACAGAAAATGCCTTTATCCACTGAGCCGTCCTGCTGAGCATTTTGTTTATTGTTTATTTTGTTTTCATTTTTTGGTGGGATTAGGTTCTGGGAAATTGAACTCACGTGCCCACACAGCAAGCATCTTGTCATCTGAGCTATGATTTTCCATTTTTAAGGAAGGGATAGTAATCCACCCCCTTTCAAATGCAGACACCTTCTGGACCAACCCACAGATAAAACTGTCCCTGATGGAGAGGGATGAGGGCCAGGAGGGCTGCACTTTCTTAGCTGCCTTGATGCAGAAAGACCGCAGGAAGCTCAAGAGGTTTGGCGCCAACATGCTGACCATCGGCTACGCCATTTACCAGGTAGGGACCAGCTGCTCTCAGTGTCCCTGCAAGGACTTTGAGTTCCCTGTTGCTTCTGAACTCTGGGCCACAATAAACAGCCAATTCTGCAGCCAAGTTGAGTATGGAGACCAGAGTCATGTCTCCCTCATGACCTCTGCCTTCCCTTGCAGTGCCCAGACACAGACCAGGACCAGGATGGACACCTGAGTAGGGACTTTTTCCGGTACCACGCCTCCCTGGCCCGAAGCAAGACATTCATCAACTTAAGAGAAGTGTCGGGTCGCTTCCAGCTGCCCCCGGGAGACTATGTCCTCATCCCCAGCACCTTCGAGCCACACCAGGAGGCTGACTTCTGCCTGAGAATCTTCTCTGAGAAGAGAGCAGTTACTCGGTGAGGAGTGGGAGCTGCAGAGCCCACAACTCTTGATGCACTCCCTGTGAGTGGGGGAGCCAAGGCAGCAGGAGCCTGAAGCAGTTCACATCGCCTGTGCGGTCAAGAAGCAGAGAAATGATTGCCGCTGCTCAGGAGGCTTTGTGCTTTCTGTGCAATTCAGGACCCAACCCCAGAGGAATAGTGCTGAGCAGGCCGAGCAGCTGGTCTCTGACAATGCCCGTCTCCTCTGGAGGCAGAGCTTATGATTTTTAGAGGAGCCCTGTTCTGAAGGTCACCCCAAGAGCCCTTTTGGGGTGCGTCTGAAAAGCTGGTGCTGTCATAGTCTCTAGGTTTCACATGCTCAGGATCACAAGCTGCCCTTGGGATCATGCCAGTCTCCTCTCCGGCACTCTGGGCAGGGTTGAAAGGCTGGGGATGGGGTCTTGGAGCAGGGAGGGGTTGCCAACCCCATGAGACACAAGCAACACCGAACAAGAGGGCTTTGACAGGCCAGAACCCTTCCATAGCTCTGGTCCCGTGAGATGCATGCCCGCAACTAAGATGCTGTGCTTTCTGCCACTGCAGGGACCTGGATGAGAACGTAGACATTGATCTTCCTGAGGTGAGTCCTCCGGTGTGGCTGGGGAGGGAGGGGTTCAGCTGAAGGTTCTAGAACTCTTCTTTGAAACCACAGTAGCTGGCTGCTTGCAGCGAGGTAAGAGAGGTAAGCGCCCTGACTGGTTCTAACCCAGAGGTCAGGGCTTTTGTTTCTCCTCCCTCAGAACACCTGACACCTGTAGGACTAGGCGGGGGCCAGCCAGGTGCTTGGGATAAAGTCCTCTCAGGTACCATCTTTTTTTGGGCTTCCCCTTCTCCTGAGAGGCCTCTGCTAACTGTTAAAGAAGTGAAGTGACTTCAAATTTACTTTATTTAAGAGGATAGCTGAGATGGGCACACTTGTGATTCCAGCACTTACGAGGTGGGGGCCAGAGGCTCAGGACTTCAAGGCCAGTCTTGGCTACTGGGTAAAGTTAAGACCTGCCTGGGATATATAAGGCTTCACCTCAAAACATACACACACAAAAAGGAAGGAAGGAAGGAAGGAAGGAAGGAAGGAAGGAAGGAAGGAAGGAAGGAAGGAAAGAAGGAAGGAAGGAAGGAAGGAAAAAGAAGGAGGGGGAGGGAAGAATAGAAGGAAGAGGGAGGGAGGATAGAAAGAAGGAAGATCAGAGGGAGGGAGGGAGGGAGGGAGGAAGGGAAGGAGAGGGGAAGAAGAGAAGAGAAGAAAAGAAAAATGAGGCCGGTTGAGTTGGAGAACACAGGACTCACTGTGGGGGCTGCGAGATCTCTGAGCTATGCTTAAGACCTATCTATCCATGTGCACATGTCTGTGTCATACATGTGTGTCATAAAAGTAGAAGGGGGGCTAACCAAAAGGAGGAAGGGATCCAGCAGGGAGAGCAGGGGAGGCTAATGGAGGAATTAATAAGGTCAAAGTACATAATATGCTTGAATCAACATGTCATTGTGAAATCCAAAGCTGCATAATAAATATTGGCTATGTGAGGGGTGAGGGAAGACTCCAAAGTGTTTTGAAACGGTCCGCATGTCCACAGACAGCAGAACCCACTTTGGGGAAAGCCTGCTGCTCTGTGCTGCCCCTAGGACTGCTGTTTATTTATTTATTATTTTCTAAACATACATGGGCAGCTGGTATATGGCAGTTCTGTTGAACTTGTCCGTTCATGATCTAAGTTGATGAGGACAACTGACCAGGTCTATTCCTCAAGAGGACACCAGATCTCATTACAGATGGCTGTAAGCCATCATGTGGTTGCTGGGACTTGAACTCAGGACATTTGGGCCAAAATCTACAGCAGAGCAAAATACCTAAATTGTACTGAGCCATCTGCCTGCTCTGGGTGCTGGTGACAGACTTGGAAGGTGACTATCAAGAGAGATATTAGATCGGTCCAGACACCCTTAGCCTTCTCATTCATGTTAAGGGAGACTTAGGGAGTACAGATCTCCCACTCTGGACAACTGCAGTGAGTTCACTCAAGCTAAGCTTCATGTTCCTGATGAAACCAAGTTGTTCGCCTAGCTTTGAGAGAGCAGGGCAGCTCTGGCCACGTGACTGAAAAGGCCCTCTTCTCTAGCCCCATGTGAAACTCTCTGGAGCAGCTTGATGCTGGCCAGCATGTTCTGTGCTGGGCACTTCCCGTTCTTTCCTTTTGTTGTGAGGGGATTGAACTAAGGACCTCCCACGTGGGGCTTTTCCTTCAGGGCCAGCCTAGCGTCCAGTGTGGGGCTCCTCTTTTCTGCTATTAATGTGGGAAAAGCACGTGTCTGGCATCTTTTCTGTGAGTTCCTCTCTGACCTTTACACAACCTCACTTGGCTCTTGCAGCCCCCAAAGCCAACTCCACAGGAGGAGGAAACAGAGGAGGAGCGGCAGTTCCGGGCCCTGTTCCAGCGAATTTCTGGTGAGGTAGGATACAACCGTCTTGGTCCCCTCTATACTCTGACCCTGGCTAAGGGCCTGCTCTGGGTTTCCAGCAGAGGACTGTGATCATGAGCTTGTCAACAGCATTTCCCGGAGCCCTTCTGGGCTTGTTACAAAATAAAGCCAGCGTGGTCCCTGGAGTATCGATCAATGCACCTCTGTTGACCAGTGATAGGTTAGGGGTAGGAAGAAGGTTAGGGTTAGGGCTAGGGCCCATTGCTTGTCCTTGGTCTTCCGTCTCTCATCTCTGCTCATCTCTGCTCAGCTTCCTTTTGGGGGAGCCCTAGCAGTTCTTAGGAATGAGATGAAACCTTACCTAGCTCCGGGCTTCATGCCGCTGCTGGTAACTGCCTCCTTAGAGACCATAATAGGAAAAGCCTGACAGATGACAGATTAGCTCATCAGACACTAGTGACTGTATTACCTTGCTCTTTTCTCCTGCCTGGGGCTCCTGGATTGAAAGGGCCAGCCTGGGGGCATGATCTCACACTCAGAGGACCATATCAGCTGGTTGCTTCTCAGATACTTAGAAAGTGGGACAGGGGACTCCGGTGGAGAAACGGGGCCATATGCAGCCACTCCTCTCCAGATCCAGGCGCGATAGGGGTGAGGGGGGGCAAATGATCTCCAGAGGATTTTAGAGGTGACAGACTGGTCCCACCCACATCACCATAGCTGTGAGTCCTTGAGCAGGTGCATGAGGCAGGGACCGAAGTCCTGAGGGAACGGTGCATGCAGCATTTGGATGGAAGTGGGGAACCAGTGCAGGAACATCCACTCAGCCTCAATTCGCAACAACCAATAAAAGCCCCTCGAGAGTGAAGTTCTACCTGCTCAGGTTCTGTCCTGCTCCACATCCAACTGGGGGGCTGGGTGTGTGGCCCCATGCCTGTTTCCCCTGCATATTGTTCTGCAATATACTTTCTTACCAGTGCTGAACACCCCAAAGACCCACTCCCCGGGCCAGGAAGCTTCAGTGGCAGAGCCGACTGGCATATGTTAAAATGATGTCAACAGTGACTATATTATACACTTGGGTTAGTTCAGCACCTGGGCGTCTTGAGGAGCTACCAGACCTCCAAGGGCATAAAAACCACATAGGTAGCTGGATGTGGTGACTTGTGCCTGTCATGTAAGCACAAGAGAAGCTGAGTAGGAAGATTTCCAGGCTAGACGGGCTACCTTGTCTCAAAAAAACTAAACAGGATCTGGTAAGATAGTTCAGCAAGTATAAGTACTTGCCATGAAAGCCTGTTGATCAGCATTGGATTTCCTAGAACCCAGGTAAAGGTGACAGGAGAGAGCCAGCCTCAGAAAGTTGTTCTCTGACCTCCATACATGTGTAGCTATACCTCTCTCTCTCTCTCTTTTTCTCATGCTTGCATGCACTCACATGCACGCGCATACACATACCACAATCTACTTTGAAGTGCCTGGACCTCCTAGAACTGCAGGCTTCCTTCTGTGGCTCCGGTAACACCAGCTTCTGCTTTGTAGATGGTGGAGCTAGTTGCTCTCTTAAACTGACAATTCCAAAATTGACCCCTAGAGGTTTTATATTAACCAATGAACTGTGTCTGACTAGCAGGTGAGACTCCCATATATGAAGTGTTTCCTGCTCTCTGCCTACTCCTGTGAGGAGGTACGAGGACCTGCTGGCTCTCCGAATGCCTTCTGATCCTTTAAAGTATCTGAAGGCTTTTTGAAGCCTTCTCGGGGAATCTTGCATCCTCTGGGGGATGAGCAGCATGCCTTTCCCTTCCCTGAGTTTCTCCAGGCTGCTGTCTCACCTGGGGTGGATAGCCCCCCCCCCCCCGAGAAAGCACTGGGCTGCAGCTACCATGGAGGTGAACTCAGCTCCCAGCACAGTGTCCTCAGAGCCTTTCTCTCCAAGGAGCCAGGTCCAATTTAGGATTGATAAGGATCATGAAGAACAATTATCTCTACTCCACAGGACATGGAGGTGTCTGCTGAGGAGCTTGAGTATGTTTTAAATGCTGTTCTGCAAAAGAGTAAGTGTCATTCCCACAGGGGACAGGGACTCTCTGGAGAGGAAGAATGGCCTCATTAGCAGGGCTCACCCAGGCTCTGCTCCTTAGAGCCTCGGACCTGCTCACCATGGCTGACCTGTATGCAGGCTGTAGAAACTGTTCTCTTTGCTGGTTTCCCAACTGCAGAAGTGATGCAGGCATGCTAGAGTGTTCTGTAGACTTTTCTACAGAAAAGTTAGTAGCAAAGATAATTCATCGCACATCTTGACCCCAAGTAACCACTGTCACTGTGTGTGTGCACTGTGAATGTGTGTGCATTTGTGTCTGTGTGCCTTGTCTGTGCTGGGCATATGTGCATGTGTGTTATCTCTGTTGTATGTCCACTTGTGTGTACATGTACGTGTGTACATGTGTATATGTGTCTATGTTTGCACATGTGTGTTAGCAAAGTCCATTCCAGTACATTTTTGCCACAACAGTCACTCCCTATTCCATCCTCCCCCAGCTCTGGCAAATTCTCAGCTACCTTCTGTCTTAGACCTGACATTCTGGGCACTTCATACAAAAGAATCAGGCAGTTTGTTACTGGATTCTTACATGTGGAATACTGGTGCGTGTGTGTGTATGTGTCTGTGTATGTATGTGTGTGGTGTGTTCACATGGACAGGTGTGCACCTGCATGCAGACCAGAGAGCACCCTCAGATATGGCTCCTCCTGTCTTTGTTGGTTTGGACAGAGTCTGTCATTGCCCTGGGACTCACCAAGTAAACTAGTCTGGCCAGCCAGGGAGCCCCAGGATGCCACCTCCCCAGTGCTGGGATTACAGATTCATGCCAGTGCTTCTGATTTTTTTGTTTTTTGTGTGGGTTCTGGAGAATTGAACTTAGAGTTCATGCTTATAAGGCAATAACTCCACTGCCTGAACACTCTCCCTAGCCCTTGTTTTTATTTTTTGAGACAAGGTCTGGCTAAATGCCTAGACTGGCCTCAAATTTGCATTCCTCCAGCCCAGGATCTTGAATGCTGGGATTAAAGACACATTGTACACCCAACTACCTCTACCAGCTGTGTATGAATATCAAATTTCTTCAGCACTTTTGGGGGTTTATTTTTTGTTAATTTGATTGGTTTTTTTTGTTTAAAACCAGATCTCTCTTGGGCCGTGACTGACCTGGAATCACTTGCTGTGATTCCCCTGCCTCTGCCTTCCTAGTGTGGGGATTATAGGCATACACCACTGCATTCAGCTCCTCTGCTATTTTAAATCCTGCCCTTTGAACATGTGTGAGCTGGTCATTAAAGAACCCTTGGGGAACAGCGGGCTACTGTGTGGTTGCCGTTAACTCACGTTACTGTTCCTCGCTAGCCATTTTTATAACTTCTAAATACCCTTTGCAGTTATAGACAGGATGCTGATTGGGCTGGAGGGACGGCCCAGTGGTTAGGAGCTGCCCTTGCAGAGGACCAGAGCTGGGTTTCCAGCACGAGAGTGAGGCTCTTCATAATCTCTTGTAACTCGAACTCCGGGCACCTCATGCCCTCTTCTGGCCTCCACAGGCACTGGTGCATACACATGCGCAGACAAACCCATATACACATCTTTAATAAACAGGCAGATGGTAAAAATCTTAGGATCCCTCGTGCTAAAGTATATGCGTGAGATCAGTCCCATCTTTAAGGCTTTCTGCACAGATTTCCAGCCTTTCTTCCAGAAGTCCAGTCCCTGCTCTCAGCATCCTTAGATGGTGTCCACATGATGGTCCCAGAGAGCCTGATCTAAATACACCATGGACTCTCAGAAGAATAGGGGATAAATTTGTCTTGTCAGGATCATTGATTGCATAGCTTCCCATGTGATTACAGAAACAGCCCTCAAGTTCAAGAAGCTGAGCCTGCTGTCCTGCAGAAATATCATCTCTCTGATGGACGTATCCTTTCCATGGACAGATACCCCTGAGCAGGGGTGTCCTAGGTGCTCACTGTCCTGGGGTCCCCCTGAGCAGGGGTGTCCGAGGTGCTCACTCTCCTGGGATCCCCCTGAGGAGGGGTGTCCTAGGTTCTCACTGTCCTGCGGCAGGCACCGCAGCTCTAGAAATAGAGAGCTCTCCCAACCTAACTAGGGTTTGGTCAAAATCAAAAGGCTCAGCACCACACAGTGGAAAGAAGGTTTCTGAGGGGATCTGGGGTCTCCCCCAAGGGGATAATGGGCCTGCTTTCCTGTATTATAAATAGTCAGGTGACCCCCATCTTATCTGCCATTCCCGCTCTTCAGAGCTTCCTGTTTCCATCACTAAGTCACTCCCCCAGAGCCCCAACTCTGTTACCATATAATCCTGGCCTCCTCCTGTGAGCCCAGAGCCAGGCTACCACAAGGAGCCTAAGTTGAAGGACCCTTAGCCCACGTGGCCAGACCAGTGGCAATGGGAAGCTGGAGTTTGAAGAGTTCCGGGTGTTTTGGGACAAGCTGAAGCACTGGATGGTATGTGATCTGGTCCAGACCCCCAGCAGAGTGGGGCAAAGGCCTAGGCTACAGGTTGAGCAGTGTTGGGAGGGTGGTCAAGGAGCCACAGTGCGTCTTAATGTTGGCAGAGGTACAAGGGTGCTTCCGCTGGAAAGAAAAGGAGGCTGGGAATAGAGCCTGCCCTATGAGACCTGCATTGAAGACAAGAGGGCCCAAGTGGGTGGGGGTGGCATACACCTTTAATCCCAGCACTAAGGAGGCAGAGGTGGGCAGATCTCTCCAAGTTTGAGGCCAGCCTGGTCTACAAAATGAGTTCCAGGACAGCCAGGGCTACTCAGAGAAACCCTGTCTCCAAAAAATAAATAACTAAAAATAACGATAACAAAAAGGAGGAGGAAATTTAATCCCAGCACTCGGGAGGCAGAGGCAGGCGGATCTCTGTGAGTTCGAGACCAGCCTGGTCTACAGAGCTAGTGCCAGGACAGGCTCCAAAGCCACAAAGAAAGAAACCCTGTCTCGAAAAACCAAAAAAAAAAAAAAAAAAAAAAAAAGTCAAAG